ATATATAGATTCATTAGAAAGATCACAATTTTATCTTTAATTTGAATATTCAATATTCTAATTAACGAAAGCCGTTTTTGAGTAATTAAATAAAAAGGACGATATTTCTGTCTTTAATTTGAATATTTGATGATTGAATTAGCTTCAATGGTTTTCGAGTAATTTAATAAAATGTGAAGATGCTACATATTAAGTTTAACAACTTATTACAAAAAATGAGTAAGTATTATAAATTGGAGAATAGACTCCTTCGAAAGACGATATTTTTGTCTTTAATTTGAATATTTGATGATTGAATTAGCTTCAATGGTTTTCGAGTAATTTAATTAAATGTGAAAATGCTACATATTAAGTTTAACAACTTATTATAAAAAATGAGTAAGAATTGTAAATTGGAGAATAGACTTAATCGAAAAGCGATAGTTTTCTTCTTTAATTTGAATATTTGATGCAGTTATCGATTAATTAAATAAAATGTGAAGACAATTAATTTTCAAACTCTCATTTGATTTGTCAACTTTGGCAGTTTACAACAAGATTATCTCACGAATATCTCAAATATCACGATAGGATCAATGGAAAGGATATAGTTTCTTGTTTATTTTAGGTATTCAATGATTTAATTGACGTGCATAGTTATAAAGTAATTAGATAAAACGTGAAGACATGCGAAAAAAATAAAAAATCGCGATATCTCAGTTATTAATTAACATAATTTAACAGTAGTTCAATGAAAAGTTGCGCAATTGAAGACTGCTTTAGAAGTAATCATATAATATATTAATAGTTTTCAAGAAAATTTAAAAATAATAAAATTCTAACGTGTTTCTTTGATGATTAATATCATCAAGGTAATACCAAGTGTTATCCGGTCTTAATCTAAATTTATAATACAATTATTAGTACTATTTCTTAAGAACGGCACTTAGGTGTAACAGCACTCACCTAAGTAGAATACCAATGAGGTGGTAGCAAAGGTGTAGACAACGCTGGATAACACTTTGCTGGTGCAAGAGATGACGCCGATGAGAGCATCGTCGATCTTCAGGAGGTGGCTGAAAAGTCCAACAGACACAGAAGTTCCTGAAAAAAAATTAATAAATAACAATTTTCATATCATATCAATTTCGATTGCATAATTATGTAAATCACTATGAACAATTTATATATATATTTGAGATGATTTCAATTTTATATATTTTCTTAGAATCGTGGAGGACGAAATAACGAAAGACCTTCTTGCATCTAGATAATGTTATGCAAGGAGCGGAAGAATGTTTCAATGGGCACTAAAAGTTCGTGAGAAAAATAACACACTCGATGGGCCACGAGGAATGTATGTGTTTCTAATCTGTTAATTCTATTTAGTCTTTTTTTATCATCATTTTTCTCATCTCTTTCACTCACTTCATTCTCTCAGATTATTAAGTTATCTCATGCATATTCGATGCAAGTTGCATCCGTAAAGAATACTAATGGTAAAAAACGCATAATAAGAATGCTGTTGCGTAACGTTCCTTCGGTTCGGACCTTCTAAACTTAAGAACTATTGAATTTGGTTAGGGAGAATAAATTAATTGAACGCTTAAATACTTCGAAGAAATGGAAACTCACCGACGAGACTCGTAATCATGTTGTACGTGGAGAATATACTGAAATCCAGCTCGTCCCAGTTGAATCGGAATCTGGTGAACAAATACATCACAACCATTTCACCTGAAACATAAAAAAAACAAGAAATAAATATTTTTTTTTAATTTTTGCAAAATTTACTAAAATTAATTTGAATATGTTATGACTATATCAAAAATAAAATTGTAGTGAAAAAAATGAGACTATTTGCATAATTATATATAATGTAGTTTAAGTGTAATTCAATTTCAAAGTTAACCTAATAAAATAAGCAATGCTTTTTTATTTTAACGATTTCTCAAGAACTGGTCAAGTGAATCTTAACATTTTTATGTATATTAAAGATAAAACTATAAAGAATAAAGCACGACTATTTATATTGTTCAATTTACCGTAATTTAACAGGAATTTAATTGTAAACTTTACATAATCAAATATAAACAATTATGTTTGTATCATTTGTAATTTGGTGACAAATTTTCTAATTTTAACATTGATTAAAGCTAAAAATATAGAGAATAATGTGAACGTGTTGGTAAAGTTTGATATGTTAAAGGTTTTATGCAATTTTCTACTATTAATGAGTGGAACTGATGGAATGTTAAGCATAAAAAAACACCTTTGTCCAAGCAGTGAAATGCAGAGTTATAACACGAATATGTCCATTGAAACAATGCTTTATGCATGTCCCATAACGTACTTTCCGCAAAACGAAATAAACAAAAAACAAGACAAAGAAAGCGAAACACCGGAAACCTTGGCATTGCTCGTTCCGTAATAACAGATTCACGTGGAAGAATCAGTTAAATTATCATTGATCGTATAGAATTAATGCACGTTTCAGCTATGACCTTAATCACAAATATTTTAAGCACGTTTTTCGTGCAAACAAATTTTTGCAAAAAAAAAACAACAACAATAAATTGGAAATCAGACACTTTCAATTACACAAGTTCACACACATGTAAAACCGTAGTCATCAAACGTAACGGAATCGAATTCGCAATTACGAAATAATAATGATAATAATAATAAAGTACACGAGAAAGAAAATAAATGTCCAAGTAAAAAAAAATCGCATGCGGTTTAATATTTCCTGATTACTTTTTAATAATTGCATAATAATGTTTTTTTTTATGTTTTGTTGTTCGCGTATGTTAGGTAGTACCTACTACACATTTGCTTGTCTTCATTACTGTTTGAATAAACGAGGAAGTGCGGCGGACACTTGAAATTTTGCATCGTTAAAACGCTGTTGCATAACCGGCGATTATCGACGATGTGCACACATCCTTGTGGAAAATCCTGAATTGTTAAGAAGGAAGAGAAGCAAATAAATAAAAAGGAACGTACAGACAACACACATCCTCGCTAATCTCAATGTATTTGCGTTCCGTTATGTACACTTCTTTTTTCTCTCGTTTTCTTCATTCAAAATTAAATCGTAATCGTGAAGCAAATTATCTTTTAAACCGATTTTTTTTATGTAACGATCTTTTATTTTCCCAACTTGATTCGGAATTAATCACAGTTTTTTCTCTATAGTATAATTTTCTTTAATTACACTTTGCTATGCAATTATGTAATTATATATTATTTAGTATTGGTTAAGCTATAATTACAATTAAGTTTATTTGTTCTTGGACTTTATTTTAGATTGTTTTATTTTATTGCTCTCAAATGATGCTTGAATATAACGTTTAGTTATGAAACTTTCGAGACTTCAAATCTATTCCAGTTCTCATCTATTCAAATATTATAACAATTTATAACCAATAAACTTTAAAAATCTTCGGAATTCGTTATTTTTTCAATCAATTAGATACACTTTGCTAATCATTAGATTCTTCCAACATATTGGGTTAAGTAAAAAGTTCTGAGCGTACATCGAGCTTCTTCGTGAAAGCCCTACCTTATGAAAATGTTTCCAAACCTTTTTTCTGGCTAATCATTAGTTCCTGCGAAATGGAATAAGTCGACTATCCAACTCGACAATTTCCATGATTTCATCAACATTTTCGACAATTGAGCTACCGGAAATGTCTCATCTTCGACGTTCATATTACCCGTAGGGAAGCATTGGAACCAACGATTTGCATTCAATACTGTATTGGGTCCACAAACAACCCAAAATTTGGCCGCTTGCTCCGTTTTTCCCCTAGGTCGTAGTAGTACTGAAGAATTTATCGAATTTTCTCTTTTTTACCTCCATTTTGGAACGCTCTAACACTCAACACAAAACTGTCAAAGAACTTTTTTTTAAAGCGTTATGTCATCTTTAAGTTGCACTATAGAATGACAAGATGCAACTTATACATCGTGAGATGGCTCACTAAAACCATGTAACGAAAAACGCTCAGAACTTTTTACTTCACCTATTACATTCATATCTAAACTTATCAACTTGTTATTACAGATTTAATCGCTCAATTAAATAATTTCCCATACATACATACATCATTATAACTAAAGTTGTTATGTTATTTCTAAATGAATGTGCACATCTATTAATAGAAGTTATCATTAATTATCGATGTTAATTTCGGGCTTGAATTATTCCGTTGATCGGCGATATCTCCACAAAGAAACAAACCATAGCAGACACAATTAACGACTTTGTTTTGCCTTTTCTTTTATTTTATATTTTTCTATTGAAATATGTGTATTTGAATTCACCTTGTTAAACGCAAATGGAAATTGTTGCTATAATGTGTATGTTTCGTGCAAACACACTGATTTCTACAAACATTGAACCCATCAGTCTTTGGCCTTGTTTGAACCATCGAATTAGCATTAATAACATGAAAATATGGGACTGGCAAACAGTAATCTTCCATTCAGTAGCGAAGAGAAAAACCAAATACTGTTGGTCAAGTTCTTGGAAATTTGTAGAAACTTGCTAGAGGTCAGTTTTGCTCAAAAAAAAAATCAATTTCTAATCATTTCTTAATTAATTCATTTATTTTATTAGAAATTCGCTTCTCACGGATTCGCGTGTCGATGCATCATTATATAATCTAACTGTTTTTTTTAATTATTAAATTAACAAAACCGCAAATCGATTCGCGAAATAAGTTTCTATTAATATCTTCCATCTGTTTTATTGACTCGCTAAATATATTTTTTTTTCTTCTGCCTTATTGGAACAGATTCTAAGCAATTATCGAATCGGAATTTTGGTCCTTGGCTGTATTACATTACACGTCTAAGGTCGCGACTTTGATGTGCATAGAAGTAGAAAATTATATAGGTTTTTTATTATCATCTTCTCTCCTTTACCTGCAATCATCATGTAATTATACTGCATCAACCGTTTTTTTTTCCACTCGTGTTTACCGACAATTTTCCGCTTTGTTTAAATCGATGATATTTATGCATTTCGAATGTCCAATCTCAAAATAAAAAAAAAACTAATGAGAATTTATTTTACAAAACAAAAACCTTGTTCCAATCTGTGCAAATTATTTGAACGATTAATTAAATAAAATATAATTATAGTTTAACGATTTCATGAACTAAATTTTTAGTCTGTAATTATTGCAAAAAAAAAATATTGTTATTATAATCATTAATTATTTCCAAGTAGTAAATTTACAAGTTTTTGTGATGATTTACAGTTACAAAAATGAATGTATTCAGAATTGGACAACAACATTTGAAGAAACATTTTTTTTGCCATCAAACATTTAATAATAATAATAGATATAATTTTTAGAAAGGCAAAAATAATTTTACATACATTTCCTTGTGGTTGCTTTTAAATCAATAATAATTAGTTAACATGAATTGCAATATTTATTAACTACTTTTTTTTGTATTTTAAATTTAAATTATATCCAAATTTAGCTTCAATTTAATTAAATCAATTAATACGTTTTCATCAAAATAATGTTATGAATTTAATTGAATGATTGATTTATTTCGAAATTAAACAATTACAAAAAAATAGATGTGAATTCCTGATTTCAAAGTGCGAGGTCAGTTTATTATTTTCTAGAAATCAACTAAATCAGTGTTAATGTTAATAATTGGATTACTTTTTAAGCTTCAACTTTAGCTCGCAATAATACCGTTGAAGATTAAATAATTATTATTTGTTTTATTTAATGTTGTTTAATTATTGTCGTTTTTTATTTTTGTTTATTTGAAATGTTTCTCCAGGAAATTGTTTTAGATTATAGTTAATTGATGTAGAATAATTGTAAAGGTTAAATCTGTAGATTTTTTTGTTGCTTTGTAGGAATTTTGTATGAGTGGTAATTACGAAGAGTTGGAATTGCACGCATCCGGAAGCAACCTTCGCGTTTTTAGGATTTTTTTTTTGTATTGAAATTGCTGTTTTCGGCTATCGGTAATGTTATAATTATGGAAGTTTAGTATACATGTGTCGTGTATATTGTTGTTGTTGTTGTTTAAATGTAATTTGTATTTACCGTGCATTGGGCCGATGACAACCATGACGACGAGCATGAGCAGCATGACTTTCATCTTCCTGTTGTTCTCGCCGTGCTTGAAGGCAACGCGGAAGGTCTCCACCACGTGGTTGATGTTGAAGAAGTCGCGGAGGAAGGCGAACGGTTTATCGGAGAGGACGGGAACGTCGACCTTCTTGTGTTCTTCGATCTTGTAGTAACCATAGGCGAAGGCGATAATGTAGAGAACCGCGGAGATGGAGAAGACGCCGTAGAATCCGATCTTCTTGAACAGGATGCCGCTGAGGGCGAGTCCGACGGGAATACCGAGGGAGCAGAAGACGTTGACGACGCCGATACGGAGGGTGCGCATTTTGAGGGTGGTCACGTCGCCGATGTAGCTGAAGATTCCCATGAACATTGTGAACCAGCCTCCGGTTAGCGCGGGGAATATCCCTTCGATGAAGGCGTTCACCTCCATCGGCAACTCGTAGAAGAAGTACGTGCACAACATCAGACCGATTACGGTGACGAATTCGCCAACGATGGGCAGTAACATGCAGGGCTTCCGCAGGCCCCAGCGATCGCTCCATGCTCCCACGAAGAGGATGAGGAAAGCCGGCAAACCGCTCTGCAGGATCGTCTTCCACACGGTCATCGAGGCCACCAGCTGCTGCACCTCCGATTCCTCCCTGCTGTAATTCGCCGTGTTCCTCGCGCTCAGCGCGTCGCAAACCTCCGTGCTGTAGCCCAAATTCACCCTGCACGCCTTCTCTATGCTCAGGTTCTGGGTAGCCAATCCTGCGAAGACGCACGGCATTATGTAGCAAGCCAACATAGGCTCCACCGTGATATGACTCGAGAAATACCAGTATTTCTCGCGCCAGTTCATCAACTGCCAATTCTTCGAATCCTTCGACTCCTTCAACTCTTTCATCTCCTTCTGGTCTTTCACCTCCTTCGGCTCCTTCTGCTTCATCGTGTCCGTCGCGTTCTGCGCCATCCTCGACTTGATTCAAAGAACTACTACTCTGATCTGCAAGCAAACGAAAAGAAAAAAACACGTTTAAATCTCACATACACGACTTCATCTACCTAAGTTTCCAGGACTACTCATCATCAACCCACCCAAACACTGACTAATTAAATTACACCTTATCTATTTAACTTCATCATTACGCTTTGCTTATATTTATTTTAGGATTCGATAATATCAACAAGCCAGTTTTCCAACAACTATAAAATCATATTACACAAACACTAAATGACTCACAATACAATTGCAAACACATACACTATTATAACATATAATCAAATTCTCTAAGTATAAAACACTGAAATTTCTTAACTCCAAAACGTGATTGAAGAATGAGAAGAATCATTGCTTTTGGAAGAAAATCGATTTACAATTGTTACTTTCAATTTGGAACCTCGAGAAGACGTAAATCATAGAATAATAAGAGAGAAAAATGCACATGCAAACAATTGGAATAAATCACTTTCGCCGTTACCACAACATGATGATAATATATTAGAAAACTTCTCTGATTTTCCTTTTCTTTCCATTCAATTGTGTTTCGCATCTGACGCGAAGGCACGTTATTTACTTAATTGTTTCTCAAGGAAGGTCTCCAGTTATCCATGCATATTCCATGCATAGACACGAAGAGAGAACAAAACAAGAAGATGAAAAAAAAAGTGAAACAATAAAAATAATAGCAGTCAATTAAAATCCGTAATTTTCCGCCAACTGTTTTTTTTTTCTTCTTTACTTTATCGTTGTTATTTCTCCGGTCTATTGGCCAATAAATATTAGTGCGAATGTAACAAATTCCGCATCGTTTAGCATACGTTTAGCGATGTTTTTCTTTCGTAATCGATCGTGCACACACACGTACGTTCGATCCATTTGGAAGCGCCGGATTCCGAAGTCTTCGAAGATCGGAAGAAAACAATAACGTTCTGTTGCGTAACGGAGCTCGGATAGTAAATAGAAGAAAAAAAACGTATCTTTATAATGTGATCAACGTGAAACAGCAACGACCTTATAAATAATGAGAAGAATCAATCCGTTTTGAATGCACAAGTATTCGTTGCGCAACGGACTTAATTAAATAAGTAGAGAAGAAGAAAAAAAAAGTATTAAATTTTGAAATAGATTTTGTAGAATAAATCGAAGGAAACGCTTTTATAACCGCGTAATTTGACCCGTTGGAATTGAATTGCATACAGAGATATCAACCTTCAAACTGGTCTATTTACATTTCAGTTTACGTTTAAATAAAAGTAGATTAAAAATTTGTATAATTAACAGTTTCATAAATTGGAAGTTTAAATATTGGATTAAAGCTGAAGGAAGAACAATGAAATCATTTATAACCACATACAGTGTACAAAAAGTAGATTATCGATAATTGGACTAAAGCTGAATGAAAACAATGAGTTTTGTAATTTTAGAACTTCAAATATTTAATCTTTAGATAATCCGTATTAGCAAATTTACTTTAGATATGGATTTATCAATTAATACATAATGTAAATCTCGGCTCATTACAAAACAGTAAATAAAGATTTATTGGCAACGGAACGATTCATAAATCATTTGAATTAGATAATAATATGTGAGAGAAATACCGCACGCACGCACAACAAATTCAATAAACGGTTTAATTGAAACTGTACAAAAAAACTTGAATTTCGTTCGTATTTGGGACAAACAAAAAATACGTAAATATATTTGCTTTCGTTTCGCAGTTTTCAATGAGTCAAATTTATAAATACGACCGCACAAACAAATAACGTGATTGTTACAAGAAGTCCGCATAAACAACAATATTTAGTGTTTATTTTATGATCAAATGGAAATGTTACAAATAACAACAGTTTTCGTTGTTTTTTAAACACGTTGAATATTAAATAAACTTAATTTACTTAAATTACTTTACTAAAAATTATAAATTTCAAGAGTGTCATAAAAGAAGCGTTACTATTTCGTTTTAACCCCATTTTAATTATGTTGATGTTATGTAACTTTTTACTGCTCAATCGTACGAATTAGATCATCAAATTATATTATATAAATATTTAATGTTCTCATTCAATTCAATTTATGATAAAACATTTTTTTTTTAAATATTTTTCAATTAATCCAGAATAAAATTAAAGTTGTAAAATGCGGAATACTCAAATAAAAATGTTTCAACAGAAAATCAATTAAGATTAATTTAAACAAAAATATTTCTTCTTCGATAATAATTATCTTGTTTCTAATGTATTTTCCATGGAGGATTTTGTTTTCTGTGAAACTTCCATTAACTTATCTTAAATTTATTTTTTTTACATTTCGAACGTTTTCTTGTAACAAGCGACGTCTTCTTGTTTTTGGAATTTATGTTACCTACAAATTTCGTTGTGCATGCCGCAAAGTTAACGAGCCTCCAGTTATGACCTTTTAATACATAACTATTTGGATTTTTACAGCAATAGAAAGGCAAAACTAATTAACAAATTGTTATTATATTTTTTTTTAATTATAAATGAAAACGGAGATTTTTGTCCTGAATTTGAAAATACTCTTAATGGAAATTAATCAGATTTGTACTGTACAAATCTAAAATTAAGTTTGGATCAATTTTTACACAATTCAACCAAATTTTCAAATAAACTATTTTTGTTTATAATTCATTGAAACTGTGTAAATCATTAATAATTATTGAGCACACATCGAATGATTATCTAACAATGGTGACGAATTGGAACGAAACAAAATAAAAGTAAGTACAGTTTAACAATTACTTTTCCAATTACATTTTCTAGGTCTAGGTTTCTTCAGCGCTATTTCTCAGCCGTTTTTAATCATACTCTTTTTTTTTCATTACAATATTATATGCATATTCGTTTCTTTAGTTTTATGATCACAATAAAAATGCAATTATTGTATTGTTATTGAATTTTATCTTAGTCCACAATTACAAAATTGTTATTAATTTTTCATTTAGTACAAAATTTCACAGGTTTTCTGATTTAATATTCAATAATTAATATAAATTTTTTGGAAATGAAATGAAACTATCAAAAAGTCTTCAATTTCTGTTCGTTCTTCTGCACGAATATTCTATAAGTTTACTTTCACTTGCACACGAAAAAACCATTGAGTTCAATGTTAAATCGGACTTTGAAAAATAATAATCGTCGCACTTTGATCGCAATTACACACAAAAAAATACTTCATTTATTTCCTTTTCGTTTTATATATTTAAAATGAACTTGCATGGAATTCAAGTTTACGTGAATCCTGAAATTTCGAACGTAAACAGAAAAATAAATGAACGATTACCTTGGGTTTTTTTTTTCGTTTATATATTTTAAGTAAGTTTCCACTCCAGTTTTACGTGTAATTACAATCAGATTAATTTCGAATTTTCGGAATGTCGTTTCAAATGTGTTTGAACTTCTTACATTTAGCGAACTAAAACTTTCATGCGATACTTTCTAAATCTAAAATCGCGCTCACTTTTGCCACTCAGCCTCTCCCACCATTTTCGCATCAAGAAACGAAAATAAAAGCGAAGTAATTCACCTTAAAAACAACAACAATTATCGTAAATTAATGAACGTAAATGTTTTACACGAATTTCGTAATCAAAAAAACAAAAAGAAAATTAAATCAGATCGTTCAGAATTACTAGTTTTAAATAGACATAATTCAATGGAATATTTTCATTACAATCAACTCTAAATTTACATCAAACTTGTATTTGTTTTGTTTTTATCTTTAACTTCTGAAGAAGTTAACAAATGTTTCTGTTATAACGTTTTCAATTTATAATCGTATTATTGAAGCAATGCCATTTACATGTAGTAGTTAGTATGAATGCTTTTGTTTTTCCTTTGGTAAATGCAAATGTTTTTCAATACCCGAAAACAACATTGTTTTCTTAATAAATGAGCAAAGAAGCAACCGTAATAAATAAACAAAAGAACAAAAAAACAAGCATACAGAATTGTATAAACAATTGAAAAAAAAAATGTTTGAAATTCAAACAAACAAGCAAACATTGAAACACGTTTATTTATTGAAACATTCTTAATATTAGTATAATGTTATCAATTATAACAATGGAACAATAATGAAAACTTCTCTTTTCTTTAGAAATATTTCAGTGAAATTAATTCCTTTTAATATTATCTAATAATATTGTAAATTATATTCTTAACTAATAAATATAGAAATAATTAGAACACAAATATTAATTAGATTTTTATTAAAATTGTTTCAATTTATTTTATAGATATATGAAAATTTATTCAGAATTAGATAATTTATTGCTTCTAAATAAATGAAAAATGCATAATTTACATACCTGATGCAGTGGGTCACAAATATATGGATTATGAGAGAGAGAGATGAAACTTTTAAAGTTGATGCTTCGGATCTTCAAGAACTAGTGACACATGTTCCTCGTTTTCATAAACAAAATAACGAAGAATAACCAGAAGTATAAAACAAACCGAATGCGTTTGAAGGACCCGTCGAAAATCGTGGTGCGCGCGCGATGCTCTTCGCTTTTCCGGCCTCCGGTTATATAGTTGATAACTAACTGGTAAAGGTAAATTAAAATGCAATAGTAAAATTTGATTGAAGCCACACAACTATCCCACTATTTTAGTTTCAGCGCGTGGAACGTCACCTCTACCACCACTTCGGATCTGGTCCTGTATGCGTGCGTGCGTGTATGTGTGTGTATTTGTGTTTTTGTACGAATGAAGAGCGCGTGTGTATGTGTTATGTGAATGCACAGTAGTGTAATGATATATCTTTGTAACGCACGGCTCACCGTGCTATCCACCAACCAGGTGAGAGGTTTTCAATTTGGAAATGGATACACCTTCCTCTTCTTCACCTTTCCATGCTGAGACTTCGGGAGGCTCGGAACACCGCCGTTCCATGATGGATGGATGGACAGATGCACCGAGCGCGCTTCTCTTCCAATTCTATCAAGATCAAGAGTGCTTTAAATCCCATCATCCTCTCTGACGTAAATTACGTCGCATTTGCTTTGCCCTAAACTGTGTCAGGGCTGCGCGCTCACCGAACCATTCATCATCATAATCATCATCAATATCAACAACATCATCATCAAATCCATCTCCTACTCCTACTCTCAGCTTCACCTCTTGCAGTCCGCTTCTGATCTCCGAGTGTGTTTGTATCTGTTCATGCTTAAACTATCTGTCTGTTTGTCTGTCTGTCTATCTGTCTATTCATCTCGATGTGTGTGTATGTGTATTAATAGATAGATATGTAGAGAAGTATATAGTGTGCTCTCGCACTTCGAGTTTTGGCTTTGATTTAATTCGAACGTAATGTACTGTACCTTGGCTCGTGGAGTGAGTGCTATAAACGAGGCCTCCCAAACAAATATCCGCCCACAGATGACACTGAGCAAAGTGGTAAATTGTTGCAAATTGTTGCGGAAGACCAAGAAGTCGCCCGATGACTGAGGTAAACCGAGTGCCGACGGTCGGACCACCGTAAGCGGCCCGCTTAATTATTTCGTAACATCCCATTAAGCCTAATCTAATTATCCCTTTCCCGTCGTCACCACATCAATCGTTCGCCTCTCCATCCATCCATCTATCCATACATATGCACCGCACACTCGCGCCACCATTTCACCATCAAACTACCCGTATCTCATAATAATACTCCAATACAAAATTCAATACAAGTTCCACAAGAAATCTTTACTATGTGAGTATATACATTTTATTCCACTGAAGTTTTTAGTGCATCAAAACTGAGAGTAATGACTTTGGTTCTGATAAGGTCACAATAAATTAGAAGATGTGACATCTCCATTTGACCATCAAATAAATCAAACTGTATATTGTTTGGAAAAGATCGCTATGGATGTTTGACACTTGAGACGTTTAATTCTATTATATAGATTTTTAGTAAAGTTTTTATTGAAAAGTTTTTTTTTTTGGTGACGATGGGTCCCAAAAAGGTGAAGCTTAGTCCGTCGCAAAGGAAAGCGGCCAGAGCGGAGAAGCGTGCTGCGAAGAAGAGAGCTGCGATCGCTCTTAAGCAGAAGATCCAATACGAGCATCTCGAGCGCGAAATCAAGTATGGATCTGCTACCATCTCGAAGCACGAGAAGAATTGGCGTAAGATGTTGATGGATATTGCCGTGCCGCAGATGCACGCCGAATTGGAGTACGCCTGGCACAATTTCGAGCGTGCCTTCGACGCGAAAGATTTCACCATCTCGCTGCTCATGGATGAAATCCGCGAAGCCGACGAGCAGTACATGATGAACATGCGATCGCACATGTCGAACATCGACAATTTGATCGTGCTCTGTAACGATCAGATCGCCGGTCTCCGCAATGAGAGCAAAGAGGTGATTCTGCAGCTGTACAACGCCGCCACCGTCGAGCGAAACGACATAATCAACATAACCAAGGTCAACGAGGAGTACCTAAAGACGATGCTGTACATGCTTGAAAACGCGAAAAAGGAATCCGAGAAATTAATACGCGGCGAATACCTCTCCAAGCAGGAGGTCGAGATAGGAAAGTTGGATGACATCTGCACAAAGTTCACCGAGGAGCTAGAGGCCAAGTTCGATTTAGTCTGGAAGGACTCGCACAGATTCCTCAAGAACCACATAACTGAATGCAAATCTCGCAAGAGGGAGTATCTGAAATTGCGTAAGCAAGACGACATCATGCAGATAGTGACGAGGAAGCTTTGGGAACGCATCCGCAAGAACTTCGATGTAATCAAAACTCTGAAGAACGTGTACAGCGATAAGTATTTAACTTTGTCGCGGAAAATCAAGGAACTCACCGATGAACTGAACCATTTCGAGAGCGTCTTCAAAGTGGTCAAGAGCCGCTTGGAGAGCGAACGCATACTCGACGAGATGAACCTGACCCATCTCACTCTTGAAAGCAATGAGACGATAAAATTCCTCGAAGGCATCGAGAAAAAGGGCGAGAAGTTGTTGAAACTGTCTGCAATCTGCAGGAAGTACGAAACGCAGGAGGAGAAAACAATGCCGTTTCCGATTTTCAACGATCCACCTGTTAAAGAGGTAGAAATCGAAGTGTCCGGTTATAGGAAGGAATTGCTGTTGTTCTGGAACCGGGTAGCGCAGGTTGACGCATCTAGATACAAGATGATCGAGGAATGTCAATACTTGAAGATGCAGAACAGTCTGCTGAAGGAGCGCATCCACGATTACTGCCAGTGTCTGAACTGTGAGGCACTTTTACCGGTGGACTTTGCCGACAACTCAGATTGAATAATCACACTTTTATTTGGTTCAAAATAACATTAAAAGATAACAAAAGAAACCTCATCTGACAATTAACTGAACACTTGGTGAAAATTTCTTCAACTATAATATCTAATATTATATTCATATTTACTAATATAATATCAATATTATCTAAAATAATATTAGATATATATATTAAATATTAGAAAGTTATAGTGATTTTTGTTGGTTTACGAAAATGTTAACAGTAATAGAAATTAATCGTTGTTCAGAATAAAAGTAAATGAAGACAGACGAGGTAAAAGAACAAATAAACAGATTGATTAATGTGGGATACGGCGTTCTGTTCATCTAAGAATTCAGCTAGAGGCTCAAAATATTCGATCATGGCGTCCGCCTTCAGCTCTCGTTCACCAATCAACGCATCCAACACCTCGTACCAAGGTTTGCTACGACCGTAACTCAATCCTTGCCTAAAGATGGAAACAAATTAAATAATGTTTCGCAGATAAAAAGGATTTGATTACCTAATTCTAGCACCGACTTCCTTGTTTCCGTAATAGTTACAGTCGTGGAGCGGTTTAGAGCTCTTGTTCTTCGGATCGTATTCACCTGCAATCTGACAGAAACCACGATGCAACTGAAATTGCAGGTAGGTGGCCAGAAAATAGTTAACGTATTGCTGATCGTACGCGATGTGGAAGTTGAACAGTGGATCCAGATGTTCCTCAGTTATGTTCACGGGTGCTTTCACCATTTGAATCTCCCTTCTGTAAATTTTGATAATTTAGATTTCACATATTTCTAAAACTGAATTATTGCTCTGACCTGAGATCCCACCAACTTTTGTTCCAATTTTCTTCAGTCGTTTTACCAGTAAAAACATCCCAGCGCCACTTGTCGACTAAGTAACCGTGAGGTAGGAAGAGCAACCTTTGTTTAGCCATGAACATCATCTTATTTACAAGCGACTCCTTGCTGTGAAATTCTTTGTCGATCAGTCCTCTGTCCAAGAAGTATCTTTGGGAGTATGTTGATAACAAGAATGTTTCTCCGATTGCTTCGTGGAATGCAAAAGTAGTTCCCATACGGAACACCGACGGCTGCTCCTTGTATAAAATGTCATACTGAATGTGGCCGAGCTCGTGGTGCAATTGAATGTAACTGTAGTAGTTTGGCGTGCCGCAGAACATTAATCTGTTGGACATAATGAATTGATTATCTTGATGATGGTATTAAATTGTGCAGATTTATATACCTATAAGTTTTCTTATCAAACATGTCCCACGACGAAGCTTGACAATTCATATTTGTCGGCGGATATTCAGTTAACACAGAATCATTTTGCATGCTTACCGTTACGTCCTCCAGTCCTAATGATAAGTAAAAGTCATTCACCAATCTGCCAATGTCATGCAGAGTGTAATTGTTGTAAAGAATTATAGCAGAGATCTGCAATGGTCTTATGTCCGGATAGGGTACATCTGCGAAAGACAGGTAATCATCTGTAACAAAAAAAATATAGAAGAGTGTCCATCAGCAACGCAACATGTACAGCCTCATTGGGCAAGAAACAACCTAAATGAAAATACGGGATGAGATAGTCGTCACCGAAGGACTTTTTTCCAAACATTTTACGGCAATCATTGAACAGATACTTGTGTAATTTCATTAATAACGGGTGACTATCAGTCCACAGCTTCTCAATGGAAGCTTCGAAATTTTCCATCTCGTACACGTAAGTCCACTGCTCCATTTTATTCTTGAATCCAAGCAGCTTAGCAATTTTATTCGAGAGATCCAAATAGCGGCTCCACAGATGTCTTCGCTCCTTAGTATTCTGTTGCCTCTGCGCCAGAAATGCGTATAGTCTCACGTTTTCACTGATCTGCTGCTTATTCATTTTACCTATCATACAAAACTGTTACATAAGTTCCAAGCTCGATACTATTTTCAACCACACTCACTAATATCCATCACCTCTTCGCTGCCCTCCTTGCATGTTTGATTAAATATCGGACACAATGATATGTCCGACAACTTTCGCATTTGCTCTATTATCACCGTATACTGTATAAATACAAAGATACAAATTCATAATTTACAAAATCTTCATTGCATATACCTCTGATGTTTCCGTTCCCAGAATAGCCTCATTTATATCTTTCGCAAACATGACCTTTCGTCGAAGTAATGGATCTTTAATATCCTCGAGCTTCCAATCTTTAAACCACTCTTGATAGGCTTCATACTCGAACTGCATTTTCTTTGAGTTTTCATTCAACTATGATAAAAATGTAAGTTTATTATTCAAGAACTCCCTTGATCAGAAACGTAATGAAAAACCAATCGCTTTCTTTTCTCAATTTAAAGGCATCAACTGAGATTACTTATGAAGAGACTCGCAATTTTAAACTTTGCATTGCAAGAGGAGGATTGAGAATGAACAAATCGATAATACTAACGTAATAGTTCCATCGATCTAAAGATGAGTTTGTGAAGTAATCGTACAAGCTCATCATAGTGTCATGAGTGAGCTTCGTGTATTCAGCCTCGTATTCGTTTTCAATAAAATCCTTCAATAATTCCTCCGAGTGTCGTTGGGCATCGAGCAAAGCAAACAAACCAAACACCTAAAATACTTCATCAGCAAATCCGATGCTGTTAACCATCGATACTTACCCATATCAAACGTAACATTATAAATAAGATAAATCACTGCTCGAAACAGCGAGTTGTCATATAATAAAAAGGGACACGAAAGACATACAACAGTTTGAAAGTTAAAACTATACTGCTCTTTCCAATCCGATCTATCCTACATTAATCCCATATTATATTACTTTTTCTAATGCTCCGCATTTTTTTTATTCATAAAAATAGCTTCAAAAACTAGATTTACCATATCACAAAGAAACTAAAAATTATAAAGTTTATTTTTATTTTTAAATTCCACTAAAAATGTTAACAAATTCTAAATTTAATCCTATACCGATTAATAAACTCAACGGAACAGTACTAGCAATAGCAATAATAGGCAAACTGCAAACGTGGTCCCAAGCGGTGAAGATCTGTTTTTAAAGATTTTAGTTGTCTAGTGGTTCAAAGTACTCCAAAATTGCTTTAGAGCTCATATCTTCTTCACCTGCCAACGATGAACTAAACCATTTCGAGTGCGTCTTCAAAGTCGTCAAGAGCCGAACGCATACTCGACGAGATGAACCTGACCCATCTCACTCTGGAAAGCAACGAGACCATAAAATTCCTCGAAGGCATCGAGAAACAAGGCGAGAACTTGTTGAAACTGTCTGCAATCTGCAGGAAGAAAAACAATGCCGTTTCCGATTTTCAACGATCAACCTGTTAAAGAGGTCTAAATCGCAGTGTCCGGCTATAGAAAGGAATTACTGTTGTTCTGAAACCGGGTAGTGAAGGTCGACGCATCCATATACAAGATGATCGAGGAATGTCAATACTTGAAGATGCAGAACTATCTGCTGAAGGAGCGCATCCACAATTACCGCCAGTGTCTGAACTGTGAGGCCCTTTTACCGGTGGACTCAGATTGTATAATCACACTTTTATTTGGTTCAAAATAACATTAAAAGGTAACAAAAGAGAAATCTCATCTGACAATTAACTGAACACTTGGTGAAAATCTCTTCAACTATAATATCTAATATTATATTCATATTTACTAATATAATATCAATATTATCTAAAATAATATTAGATATATATATTAAATATATGAAATATTAGAAAGTAATAGTTATTTTTGTTGGTTTTAGAAATTTTTAACAGTAATAGAAATTAATCGTAGTTCAGAACAAAAGTAAATGAAGACAGACGAGGTAAAAGAACAAATAAACAGATTGATTAATGCGGGATACGGCGTTCTGTTCATCTAAGAATTCAACTAGAGGCTCAAAATATTCGATCATAGCGTCCGCCTTTAGCTCTCGTTCACCAATCAACGTATCCAACACCTCGTACCAAGGTTTGCTGCGACCGTAACTCAATCCTTGCCTAAAGATGAAAACAGATTAAATAATGTTTCGCACATAAAAAGGATTCGATTACCTAATTCTAGCACCGACTTCCTTGTTTCCGTAATAGTTGCAGTCATGGAGCGGTTTAGAGCTCTTGTTCTTCGGATTGTATTCACCTGCAATCTGACAGAAACCACGATGCAACTGAAATTGCAGATAGGTGGCCAGAAAATAGTTAATGTATTGCTGATCGTACGCGATGTGGAAGTTGAACAGTGGATCCAGATGTTCCTCAGTTATGTTCACGGGTGCTTTCACCATTTGAATCTCCTTTCTGTAAATTTTGATAATTTAGATTTCACAAATTTAAAAAATTGAATTATTGCTCTAACCTTAGATCCCACCACCTCTTGTTCCAATTTTCTTCAGTCGTTTTACCAGTAAAAACATCCCAGCGCCACTTGTCGACTAAGTAACCGTAAGGTAAGAAGAGCAACCTTTGTCTAGCCATGAACATCATCTTATTTACAAGCGTCTCCTTGGAGTGAACTTCTTTGTAGATCAGTCCTCTGTCCAAGAAGTATTTCTGGGAGTATGTTGATAACAAGAATGTTTCCCCGATTGCTGCGTGGAACGCGAAAGTAGTTGCCAAACGGAACATCGATGGCTGCTCCTTGTACAAAATGTTATACTGAATGTGGCCGAGTTCGTGGTGCAATCGGAAGTAACTGTGGAAGTTTGGCTTGCCGCATAAGAGTATTCTGTTGGGCATAATGTATTGACTATCTTGATGTTGGTATTACCTTGTGCAGATTTATATACCTATAAGTTTTCTTATCAAACAAGTCCCAGGAGGAATCGTGACAATCCATATTTGTCGGCGGAGATTCAGTTAGCACAGAATCGTTTTGCATGCTTACCATTACGTCCTCCAGTCCTAATGATAAGTAAAAGTCATTCACCAATCTGCCAATGTCACGCAGAGTGTAATTGTTGTATTGAATTATAGCAGTGATCTGCAATGGTCTTATGTTCGGATAGGGTACATCTGCGAAAGACAGGTAATCATCTGTAACAAAAGATAGACGAGTGTCCATCAGAACACAATATGTACAGACAGCCTAATTGGGTAACAAACAACCTAAATGAAAATACGGGATGAGATAGTCGTCACCGAAGGACTTTTTCCCAAACTTTTTACGGCAATCATTGAACAGATACTTGTGTAATTTCATTAATAACGGGTGACTATCAGCCCACAGCTTCTCGATGGAAGCTTCGAAATTGTCCATCTCGTACACGTAAGTCCACTGCTCCATTTTATTCTTGAATCCAAGCAGTTTAGCAATTTTATTCGAGAGATCCATATAGCGGCTCCACAGATGTCTTCGCTCCTTAGTATTCTGTTGCCTCTGCGCAAGAAATTCGTATATTCTCACGTTTTCTCTGATCTGCTGCATATCCATTTTACCTACCATACAAAACTGTTACATAAATTCCAAGCTTCATACTACTTTCAACCACACTCACTAATATCCATCACCTCTTCGCTGCCCTCCTTGCATGTTTGATTAAATATCGGACACAATGATATATCCGACAACTTTCGCATCTGGTCTATTATCACCGTATACTGCATAAATACAAAGATACAAATTCAGAATTTACAAAATCTTCATTGCATATACCTCTGATGTTTCCGTTCCCAGAATAGCCTCATTTATATCTTTCGCAAACATGACCTTTCGTCGAAGTAATGGATCTTTAATATCCTCGAGCTTCCAATCTTTAAACCACTCTTGATAGGCTTCATACTCGAACTGCATTTTCTTTGACTTTTCATTCAACTATGATAAAAATGTAAGTTTATTATTCTTTTCTGAATTTAAAGACATCAACTGAGATTACTTATGAAGAGACTCGCGTTTTGGCACACCAATGATAATGACATATAATAAAAATTGCTTTACATTCGATAATCAATTTTAAATTTTGCATTGCGAGAAGAGGATTGATAATACTAACGTAATAGTTCCATCGATCTAAAGATGAGTTTGTGAAGTAATCGTACGAGCTCATCATAGCGTCATGAGTGAGCCTCGTGTATTCAGCCTCGTATTCGTTTTCAATAAAATCCTTCAATAATTCCTCTGAGTGTTGTTGGGCATCGAGCAAAGCAATCAAACCAAACACCTAAAATACTTCATCAACAAATCGACACTCTTAACCATCGACACTTACCCATATCAAACGTAACATTATAAATAAGATAAATCACTGCTCGAAACAGCGAGTTGTCATATAATAAAAAGCGACACGAAAGACATACAACAGTTTGAAAGTTAAAACTGCACTACTCTTTCCAATCCGATCTATCCTATATTAATCCCATATTAAATTAGTTTTTCTAATGCACGACCTTTTTTTTTAATTTACAAAAACAGGTTCAAAGACTAGATTTACCATATCACAAAGAAACTAAAAATTATAAAGTTTATTTTTATTTTTAAATTCTACTAAAAATGTTAACAAATTCTAAATTAAATCCTATAACGATTAATAAACTCAACGGAACAGTACTAGCAATAACGATAATAGGCAAACTGAAAACGTGGAACCAATTGGTGAAGATCCGTTTTTCAAGATTTTGGTCAAATAGTTGTCTAGTGGTTCAAAGTACTCCAAAATTGCGTCGGCACTCAAATCTTCTTCTCCTGTCATTGCTTTCAAAGCTTCCTTCCAATTTTGACTTAATCCTAATGATAAGCCAGCCCTAAACATAAAAGATTATTTGCATTTCTTTGATATTTTATATAATTCAAATAAACATACTTTAATTTCTTTCCAACTTCCTGGTTTTTGTAGAAATCACAATTATGCAATGGTTTTGATTTCTTATTGTTAGGATCATATTCTCCAGCTGTAATACACAGTCCTCTGTAAAGTTGGAACTCCAAGATATGAGCTACAAAATAGCTAAAAAAAATAGTTTGAATAAGTATAATTTATAATTCATGCATACTGCAAAATATTTACTTAATATATTGACTGTCGCCTACGACGTGGTATTTGGCAGCAGGATCCAAATACTTTTCTGATCTATCTGTTGGTGGTTTCAACTTTTGATACTTTGATCTAAAATTTAAGGTAAACCATGATTTAAATTATTTTATTGCAAATATTGATTTGCTTCAAATAAAATTACCTAAGTTCCCACCATCTGTTATTCCATTTGTCGGGCTTTACATCTCCACTAAACACTTCCCAACGCCATTTATCCACAATAAGTCCAAAGGGAAGGAAAGCCAATCTTTCCAAAGCCATATCCATTTGCGCATTGATGGTAGCCTCTTCAGATTCTTTGTAGTTTTCATCCAACAATTCAATTGCTTTTAAATGCTTAGGAGTCGAAACAGAAAGTGCAATTGTATCTCCAACGGCTTCATGGAAGCCCGGATTCGCACCATCGCGGAAAGAAATTGGTTGATTTTTATATTGAATGAAATATTGAATATGACCCATTTCATGATGGATAGTAATGAAATCTTCGTAGTTAACTTCGGTGCACATTTTAATTCTAGAATTATATTTGTTAAAACAAATAATTCAAGATAATTAAGTCATCAATTTTACCTGTATGTCTTTTTATCACAGAAATCCCATGCTGAAGCATGACATAACACTTCCCTATCTTGTGGTTTTACAATCATTGCATCCTTTCCATAAGACATTTCGTTTGTTGGTAGACCCAAAGACATGTAAAATTCATTCGACTTTTCAAACATTTTTTCTACCGTGTATTCTTTTTCCTGTAATGCTTTGGTCACATCAATTTTACTGGCCGACGGATAAGGTCTTGTCAACTCAGCTAAGTTTATCCAAGATTGTCCCCACATATTACCTAAAAACATTTTGTATACATTATGAAGTATTTCCATAAGTATGAAGTATATTAAGTTAGAATTTACCTAGTAAATGAGCTGGAATTAAATCGTCATCTCCCATAACATTTTTACCATGTTTATCCATTAATTTTTGTCTTACGTATCTATGCAATTTGTTGTATAATGGTTGAACTTTCGTCCATAACTTATCCATAGAATCAACAAAATCTTTATCGCTTTTATAGTCATAGCTACTTCTCCACATTTCGCCTTTGTCTTTGAAATTATTAGCTTTACCAATTTCATTCGATAAATCTACATATGTCTGAAATTGTTTACGCAAATTCATTCCAGTTGCATCTCTCCAAGCACTCCACGCATATAATAATTCCTTTTCATTCTTTGAGGTGCTCATAATGCTTTCAATACCTGAAATACAATAAAGATATCCAAGATTGAAACTTCATTTAATCTTTCTATTCTTACCTGGCTCTAAAGACAATCCTTCGGTTTTTATATCACATTTCTGATTATCAAATGGACAAATTTTTGCAGTACTGTATACACCACTCATTTCATTCACAGTTTTAGTATACTGAAATATCGAAAATATAAGATTTAATAAACATGTTATAAACTTGATATACCTGTTCTAATTTATTTTCTTCCAGAGCAGCCTTTCCTACAACTTTTAAATATTTTAGCTGTCTCTTAATAGCTGGATCAGTTACTTCATCTGCATTTGCATTTTTGAACCATTCATTGTATTGTTCTTTTTCGAACTTTGCATAGGCCAAAGTTTGTTGCGTCTGTAACATAAACATTCACAAATGTACTAAACTAAAGTTTGAAATAATTTTATAGATTTACAGCTAACTCATTATTTTTTTCAGTTATATCGGTATTATAGTTCCAATCGGCGTTATTCTGTGCTGTGCACATTTCGCTAGCTTTCTTTTCGTAATCTCCTTTGATATATTCTACCAATTCTTCAGTAGAGTGCTCTTTATCTTGATCCAAATATTTTATTAAAGGTTCAAAGTACTCCAGAATTGCTTTAGAGCTCAAATCTTCTTCTCCTGTCATTGCTTTCAAAGCTTCCTTCCAATTTTGACTTAGTCCTAATGATAAGCCAGCCCTAACAATAAATTTGAAAAAAGTTTAAATCTATGCGATATATTGTGTATTTCAAATAAACATACTTTAATTTCTTTCCAACTTCTTGGTTTTTGTAGAAATCACAATTATGTAATGGTTTTGATTCCTTATTGTTAGGATCATATTCTCCAGCTGTAATACACAGTCCTCTATAGAGTTGGAACTCCAAGATATGAGCTACAAAATAGCTAAAAAAATAGTTTTAATAAGTATAAGTAATAATTTTTGGATATAAAGTTTATACTTGATATATTGACTGTCGCCTACGACATGGTACTTGGAAGCAGGATCCAAATTGATTTCTGGTCTATCTGTTGGTGGTTTCAACTTTTGATATTTTGATCTAGAAATTATGAATAACAATGGCAAATATTGATTTTTATTAAATAAAGTTACCTAAGTTCCCACCATCTCTTATTCCATTTGTCAGGCTTTACGTCTCCACTAAACACTTCCCAACGCCATTTATCCACTATAAGTCCAAAGGGAAGGAAAGCCAATCTTTCCAAAGCCATATCCATTTGCGCATTGATGGTAGCCTCTTCGGATTCTTTGTAGTTCTTATCCAACAATTCAATTGCTTTTAAATGCTTAGGAGTCGAAACAGAAAGTGCAATAGTGTCTCCAACTGCTTCGTGGAAGCCCGGATTTGCACCATCACGGAATGAAATTGATTGATTTTTGTATTGAATGAAATATTGAATATGACCCATTTCATGATGGATTGTAATGAAATCTTCGTAGTTAACTTCGGTACACATTTTAATTCTGAAAATATGTTTGTCAATGCAAATAATTAAAGATAATTAAGACATCAATTTTACCTGTATGTCTTTTTATCACAGAAATCCCATGCTGAAGCATGACATAACACTTCCCTATCTTGTGGTTTTACAATCATTGCATCTTTTCCATAAGACATTTCATTCGTCGGTAGTCCCAAAGACATGTAAAATTCATTCGACTTTTCAAACATTTTTTCTACCGTATATTTTTGTTCCTGTAATGCTTTGGTCACATCAATTTTACTGGCCGACGGATAAGGCCTTGTCAAATCAGCTAAGTTTATCCAAGATTGTCCCCACATGTTACCTAAAAACATTTTGTATACATTATGAAGTATTTCCATAAGTATTAACTCTACTAAGTTAGAATTTACCTAGTAAATGAGCTGGAATTAAATTGTCATCTCCCATAACTTCCTTGCCATATTTCTTCAATAATATCTCTCTGACATACCCATGTAATTTGTTATATAATGGTTCAACTTCGGTCCATAACTTATCCATAGAATCAACAAAATCTTTATCGCTTTTATAGTCATAGCTATTTCTCCACATTTCGCCTTTGTCTTTGAAATTATTAGCTTTACCAATTTCATTCGATAAATCTACATAGGTCTGAAATTGTTTATGCAATTTCATTCCAGTTGCATCTCTCCAAGCACTCCACGCATACAATAACTCCTTTTCATTCTTTGATGTACTCATAATGCTTTCAATACCTGAAATATAATAAAGATATACTAGATTGAAACTTCAAAATAATCGTTATATTCTTACCTGGCTCTAAAGACAATCCTTGGGTTTTTATATCACATTTCTGATTATCAAATGGACAAATTTTTGCAGTACTATATACACCACTCATTTCATTCACAGTTTTAGTATACTGAAATATTAAAAATATAAGATTTAATAAACATCACATAAACTTGATATACCTGTTCCAATTTATTTTCTTCCAGAGCAGCCTTTCCTACAACTTTTAAATATTTTAGTTGTCTCTTAATAGCTGGATCAGTTACTTCATCTGCATTTGCATTTTTGAACCATTCATTGTATTGTTCTTTTTCGAACTTTGCATAGGCCAAAGTTTGTTGCGTCTGAAACATAAACATTAACAAATGTACTAAACTAAAATTTGAAACAATTTAATATACTTACAGCCAACTCATTATTTTTTTCAGTAATATCGGTATTATAGTTCCAATCGGCGTTATTCTGCGCAGTGCACATTTCGCTAGCTTTCTTTTCGTAATCTCCTTTGATATAATCTACCAATTCTTCCGTTGTGTGCTCTTTATTTTGATCCAAATATTTTATTAATGGTTCAAAGTACTCCAAAATTGCTTTAGAGCTCAAATTTTCTTCTCCTGTCATTGCTTTCAAAGCTTGCTTCCAATTTTGACTTAATCCTAATGATAAACCAGCCCTAAACATAAAATGAAGGATTATTTACATTTGTTTCATATTTTATTTAATTCGAATATACATACTTTAATTTCTTTCCAACTTCCTTGTTATTGTAGAAATCACAATTATGCAATGGTTTTGATTCCTTATTTTTAGGATCATATTCTAAAGCTGTAATACACAGTCCTCTATAAAGTTGGAACTCTAAGATGTGTGCAATGAAATAGCTACAAATATATATATGAAATAAGCAATAATCCTTGTACATTACACATTATTTACTTAATATACTGACTGTCTGCTATTACGTGGTACTTAGCTGCAGGATCTAAATCTGATTCTTGTCTCTCGGTTGGAGATTTCAATTTTTGATACTTCGTTCTAGAATAATAAACAAATTTGAAGGTAACAAATATTAATTTTCATGAAATACGATTACCTTAGTTCCCACCATCTCTTATTCCATTCGTTGGGTTTTACACTTCCACTAAAGACTTCCCAACGCCATTTATCCACTATAAGTCCAAACGGGAGGAAAGCCAATCTTTCCAAAGCCATATCCATTTGTGCATTGATGGTAGCCTCTTCGGATTCTTTGTAATTCTTATCCAACAAATCAATTGCTTTCAAATGCTTAGGTGTCGAAACAGAAAGTGCAATAGTGTCTCCAACTGCTTCGTGGAAGCCCGGATTAGCGCCGGATCGGAAAGATGTTGGTTGATCTTTGTATTGAATGTAATACTGAATATGACCCATTTCATGATGAATAGTAACGAAATCTTCGTAGTTAACTTCGGTGCACATTTTTATTCTACAATAGTAAACAAATGCAAATCTACTCTGTATTACTGTTTTAAAATTCTCAGCTTACCTAAATGTTTTCTTATCGCTAAAATCCCATGCAGAAGCATGACATAACACTTCTTTATCTTTCGGTTTTTCAATCATTGCATCTTTTCCATAAGACATTTCGTTCGTCGGTAGTCCCAAAGACATGTAAAATTCATTCGACTTTTCAAACATTTTTTCTACCGTGTATTTTTGTTCCTGTAATGCTTTAGTCACATCAATTTTACTGGCCGACGGATATGGCCTCGTCAAATCAGCTAAGTTTATCCAAGATTGTCCCCACATGTTACCTAAAAACATTTTGCATACATCATGAAGTATTTCCATAAATATGAACTCTATTAAGTTAAAATTTACCTAGTAAATGAGCTGGAATTAAATCGTCATCTCCCATAACTTCTTTGCCGTATTTCTTCACCAATTTCTGTCTGACGTATCCATGTAATTTATTATACAATGGCTCAACTTCCTTCCACAACTTATCCATGGAATTCATGAACTCTTCATCTGATTCATAATCGTAGCTTCCCCTCCACATTGCGCCCTTATCATTGAATCCATTTCTTTCGCCGATTTTCTTTGAATAATTAACATAAACTTTAAACGGTGAGACCAATTGTGTTCCGGTTGCATTCCTCCATTTGGTCCAAAAATATAACAACTCGTCCACATCATTTGACTTACTCATGATGCTTTCAATACCTACAAACAATGCATTATTACATCGTTCAACTTAAAATGCAATTTTTTTATTTTACCAGGTTCTAATGATAATCCTTCTTTATCAATATCACATTTCTGTTTCTTAAAAGGACAAATTTTCGCAGTACTGTATGTTTCAGTCATATTGTTCATAACTTTAGTGTACTGAAATTCAATATTAAATAGCATGTTCATTTATTTATAATTGAATTTACCTTTGTCAACTCGGTTTCATCTAGTGCTGCGTCGCCTACAATTTTCAGAAACTTCAGTTGTCGTTTTACACTTTCATTCTTAAACTCATCCAACTTAGCATCTTTGAACCATTCATTGAAGACATCTTTTTCAAATTTAGCAGTGATCAAAGTTTGTTCTGTCTAAAATTACGTGAAACAAAAGCATGTACATCCAGAAAAAAAACTAATCACCATCATTTACTTACCACAAGGTCGCTGTTTTTATTGGTAATGTCTGTCGCATAATTCCAATCTGCCAAAGCCTGATCGTAGAAAATCTTGCTGGCTTTCTTTTCGTATTCGTCATAGAGAAAATCCTCTAATTCTTCGGGAGTCTTAGGCAATGCATTGCTTTTAGCAACAGATATGCATCCAATCACCAAGAACACCTGCACAAAAACAATTTGTTTATTTCTAGTTTCAATTGATCAACGAGATGGCGCAACCGACGAAGCAACATCAACTCGCCAATTGGTTGATGATGAATGCAATACAGATAGCGCACCAATCGACGCATTGCCTTTCCTAAAATACGTTTGAATCAACCAATCACAATGCAGCGCTGCGTATTCCTCCATTCGGCAATTCTATATATTTCCAATTAATTTACTACACATTTGCTGATTCGGCTTAGTTGATATTATTAGCATAACGTGGAAATACATGAAATGTATGATATTTAACCTTCGCTTAACAAATGCGTTTTTGATCTTCGCGGTTTACTTTGATTTTCCACGAAACCAATGCTGTTGGCACACTTATTGTTTTCAAATGCAATACGATCATCGATTCACATTTATAAATGAACCTTCGAACGCGCCAAGCATATTATTTACGTAATTATAAAACGCAACTTTCGATCTTTTCAACCTTATCCTATATTATACTCGAATAAAAATATCTAATTATTATCGATAACTCAGTTTATGTAATTTCGAGTTATATCTACACTGGATTTAAAATTATTGATTATTTTTTATTCATATAAGAAAAAACCTCTAGATAGATAGCGCATTATATAATCGTCATTTTCTGTTTACACTTCGATATGATATATTTTGTAGTTTCAAAATATTTATTTGTATTTGTCTAAACTCTCGAAGATGGAAACTCTACAATGTCGTAGTCTGTAAGTGCGTACTTTCGAGTTCGTTTCGAGTTTTTATCTATGTCGACATAATTATAATGGCAATTTTACTTCAAAACAAGAACAGTCTTTTTGTAGCATTTAAAAAATACATTCTAAACATTCGTTATTATGTGAAATATTCTGCAAAAACAACAAATTTTTCAAAAGAATACAAATAACTAGATAACTGTGTGCATTGATAAAACTAATGGTCATATTTTTGTTACTATTTAATGTTAAAGAATGTAAACAAAAATATATTAATCAACAATTTGCAGATTTTGTCAAGTATTTTCTTCATCAATCAATCCAATAAAGCACAATTTATTAAAATTCTAATTGATTTCCTTATTAAAATTTTCCTAGATTCTGTCCTAGAAAAATAACACAACGGAATGTTGTTTCCATCCATTTTCCTTCATATTAGAATTTAAGGTCATTAATAGTTATTTATAGTTTATTTTTTTGAATAATAGCACAAAAATGCATTGATAATAAAATACTTAAATAACAGCAAGTTTTACTAATTTCGGATATTTTAAGTATTCATGATAGTAGATTTTTATTTGAAACCGTCGAAGGTAACAATTTTAACTTGAATATTTAAAAAAAAAAGTCAATTGCAATTTATGTAAATGAATATCACCATTCGGGTCGAGCGTTGTTTAACTTTCGTAAGTTGTTAAAAGTTAAAAACGCGCCGTTTCGATTCGATATTTGATTAAGATTTAAAATTGCAAAAACAACGCTCATTAATATATGTTATTATACTTTGAATTGTTAATGCGCTCTTATATAAGAACAACAGCGCGAATTTTAATTGGTTTTGCGGGAAAACTTGTTTGTAATTGTTGCGAGTAAACATGAGCGGGTTTCGTGTTTAGAAACGGAAGAACGTTCGCGGCGAGTAAAGAAAAACAAGAGTGATCGGTGTCGTGCTCGTTGGTCCGTGGAAACGCTTTCAGTTTCCGAAGAGATGGAAAATCCGCTTTCGAGAAGATGCGTACATTTTCATCTCGAAAAAACTGTTTTCCATCTATCAGTGTTTATGTTTGCGTTTAGATTTACCTGCCAGCAGATGCCCATGGTCGATGTTTATGCGAACCAACAACAACAACAACAACAATAAAATTGATGCCAAGTCCACTTTTGAACGCGCACCAATTCGTACTGGTTCGCAGCTTTCTACGGACACAAACTAACTCCTAGTGTGGCGCCGTTTACCACGATCTTTTATAAATGTTCCACTTTGGAGTGACAAAAAAAAAATCATCGGTACTTGTGTTTTATATGAGTACGTGAACATATACATTTTTAATTCACGAAATCTATTTGTGTTTATCGTGTTTAGTACAAATCATATATAGATGATAGGATTACAGTAAGAACAAGAAAAAAAAACATATCAAACACTTCATCGATTTTGCAATTGCAGCCACACTTCAGGCAGCGAGCCCTCACCTCATTCAAATATATCTAATTTTGATTAAGACACTTATTTGATAACTATTAATGAATCACTTAAATCATGCACAATCATTATACAAATATTTCTGGCTTAAAATTAATTATTAATAAGTATTGAAATATTTTAATCAATTCACTATTTACTTTACATTAATTCTCTTATCTACTTTATATAGAATTGTATAATAATAACACAGTTGGTGCTTAAACTTGTTTTAATCTAATAAATTATAAAATTCAACTGCTACAAAATGCTATTAACCATACGTCTTTTTATCCAGTCAACAAACTTAAAATTTACAATACTCAATTCAATAATAAACATAAATAAAATCATTGTTGATAAATCTCTTAATTTATATTAAATTATTATATAAAATAATGAAATTTTGTTGCCATCGAGAAGATTTTATATTTGATAAATATCTATATTTATATGAAAGTATTATATAAAACAATCAATGTCCGATCTCAACGAAATATTGTCATGTTTGTTAATAATTTGAGAATGTTTATTATATTTTGCTCAGATAGAGCTTTATTATCTGTGGGATTAAAACATGTTTTCGTTAAATAATCCCTGCATTGTCGAATGCAATCAAACATATTGTACAATGCATTATTATCTTTCGTTATTTTTATTGTTTATTTCTATAACAAAATAATATAAAGAACATTGCTGTTTGTATAATTGTTTTATAAAATGCATATTATTAAATTGTAAACTTTTCTTCTTCTTCTTTAAACACTTTCCCTAACTCAGGTGGCAATCGCAAGCCCAACAACCGAAATCCCGAGTGTATTGAAAACCCGACGTTCGAAATCCCGACTATGTCAAAATCCCGACTAATAAACAATAATCCCGACAATCTAAAACTTAATAAGATTATTAATTGTTGTTATTTATTGTTAATAACATAAACTACTTTTATTATAGAATATTTCTTAAGTTTTATAATGAATAAGACAACGAAAAAAAAAATACAATAATAATTAATATTATTTATTGCTATCAAGAATAAATAACAACAATTAATAATCGGGCAAAAGAGCCATCGATCTAAGGCTTAGTAAAAATATTTTTTTCAGTATCCGTCGTACCTATTAAAATATAGTAGAATAATACAAAATGTTATTGTAGAAATTATAATAATAAAAGACACTGTCGGGATTTCGAACGTCGGGCTTTCAATAGACGGTCTTTCGGTTGTCGGGCTTGCGATATAGACCCCCTCTACTCTACTAAAGTTCATTACTGCTGCTAGCGTAATTCTGGATAGGATTGGAGAGAATGGTAATCCAGAAGTGGTGACAAAGCGTAACAAAAAGTAACAAATTTTCAAACCGTGGTTCAGCACAAGGGTGACGGGGAAGACCTTGGAAGGACAAAATATGAGTAAGTGGGAGTTCAAAATTTAAAATTATATAACTATGTTCGTGTACTTAATGAAGTAAAGCAAAGCATTGTACTGTTGTGTACAATCATTATTATTATAATTGTTATTATTAATATAGTGTATTGATAAATTAGAGACATCCACGGCGTCTCTTAGTCGCATTATTATATAAACATAACCATCAGTATAAATGAATCTATACCGTGATCCCAGTTCGATACATTTTAATATAAACAAAAGAGATACATTCGTATACATTCCCATCAATACTCCTATAACTTTACTGCAAATTCAAGTCCTTATTATAATCACATAATGATCGTTATACGTACAATCGTAATGGATCATATTTTTCAAATAAACAAATGCATAGGATTTTGTCCCGGTTTTATAATAAACAAAACCACTTTGTAAGTAGAATAAGTATTTAGAATTAGTCTCAGTAAAACCTTTAGACTGATAGAGTCTTAGTCAATATTTTAAAGTATCTACTTTGTCTTGGAAAGGACCTCAAGAGTACCAATTATTATAATAAACCTGTTTTAAACCAATTGAATTATTTAATTCCTACACTGAAACTCCACAACGACAACACCAGACATTATTTCACTATGTCCAGAATTCCATCCCTGAGACACGACAGTACACTCTAGTGTTCTCTGAGGCAATGAGAGCTTGTAAACTATTATTTATGCAGTTTTTTAAATGATTTAATGTTGAATTTAATTATTTCTGATAGTAATTAAATTAATTGGCTGTCTATAAAGTATATATCAAAATATTCTATTTGTGACACTAGCTAAAGTAAATGTGAGAGAAGAGATAAATTTGTTTTTTAAATAAAAATTTATTTATTGATATAAATCTCTTCCAGCCCTATTTCTACAAATGTATGTTGGTTTTTTGGGAATCGAACCAACGACCTTTCGTATCAGATTTTCGTGATACAGGCGACCATAGTCACAAGAGATAAAATATATGTTCTGAATATCCTAAGTTTGAGAAACACTGCAATAAATTGAGGTATGTATATATTTATGTAAGGCAGGCAACCAAGTATACTTCATTATTTGACAGTAGGGTGACAAATCAAAATCATAATAAAAACATAACCAGCTTTGCCTTAATTTAAAATATATATATTTTTAGAATTTTGAATATAGAGTAATCCAAGTATGGCATCCAAAGAGGACTGGTGTGCTGACAAACTATCCAAGCTGCTGAATGAAGATCTAAGGATATCCACACTAAATGAGATCAAGGAGCATTTTCAGGAGGTCTCGGATAGTGAGGCAACACAGACTGCAGAGATCCTGCAGCTGCCTTTGGTGTTTGACTGTTTAAATGATTCCAACAGGTAAACTGTAACTGTAATTGAAACAAGTCCATGTTCTAATTGATTATTGTGGCAGTGAGCAAGTTGATTTGGCCTGTGAGGTATTGTCTCTATGTTTGGAGAAACTTGACATTGCTGAAACAACTAACAGATACAGCATTCCACTAGAACGGGCGCTGACACACCCGAATTCTGGCGTTAAGTTGATGGCTCTCAATGAGATCTCAAGACTGGTCAAATGCGAGAACGCCAGGAAGCATCAGCTCGTTAGTGAATTGAGTAAAAGACTGCTTCTCACGAACGTTATCAAATGCGTGGGCGTCGAGAACCTGCAGGTAGCAGTAACGGCAAGCAACATCATTGTTTGCTTTGGAACAATCGCTACAGATAGTTTACTGACAAGCAATGTACTGTCGACAATCAGAGAGATGATGGCGATCAACGAGATTGTTCGGTTGAGATTCTACGAGTTATTCGTGGATATTTGCAGCACGAGTCGCGAGGCTCATAATAAGATCGTCTCGGCTGGTTTATTATCACCGATGATGAACGAGATCACCAGCAAAGATGTTCTGCTTCGGCTCAACATCATAGAGATCATATCCAAGTTAGTTAAATTCGATTACGGCTACGACTATTTGGATAACGAGTCCTGCATCGACAGGATTTTCAGGCAGATCATGAACGCCGATGATCCAATCTTTCAGCAGCTCTGCGAGCCTGGTAAGACCTAGTTTAGATATTATGTGTTTTTTACTAATTATTTCTCGCAGGAATATTGAAATTCTTCGGTCACATGGCTCACTGCAAGCCCAACCAGGTTTTCAACAAATATCCGCAGATTTTCGACAAGATTTTCGTGAATCTAGAGAGCTCCGATTACACAGCCGTTAAAGTCTCGCTGGAGACGTTAGCCTACATCGCGTCCTCGGACAAAGCGATCATCGATTCTTTCGGTAAACCTTAAACTCAAGCTATAACTCATAATGTAACGCGAGCTTTTGGTTTAGTCGGCGATAAAATGACGAGGGCGATCAGATCGATCTCTAATCGTTTGCAGAACCTTCCCACCAAAGACAAGGTCCTCATTCTGTGCTGGATGGAGGATCTGCTCAAAGTCAATGGTAACGAGATTGACTCGGAGATCTGCCTGAAATGGTTCGAAGCCTTCAGTCAAAACCCTATGGATTTAGTCATGCATTTCGTCCACAATCCTTTCGAGGAGGTGCGACTGGGTGGTCTCGGCATTATCAATTCCTTATCAGCTTACGTCTGGGGTCAAACCAGGATCAAACAATTTCCTGGTAAGCAGCACTGTCATTCTATCTATATTATATAATATGTTTCAATATCTAGGATTAATTGAATTCTTGATGAACCGCACCGTAGAGACAAGCAAAATTGTCAAAGAGCTGAAGTATTCGATAATCGCCAATTTGGTCGCAAACGATTTCAACGTTTTCCAAATCGAGACGGTTAAGCAATTCGAGAACTTCTTGAAGGAGGGTACTTTTTACGTACAAGCCGCAACGGAGATTGCTTTCGAAAGCAATGAATAATTGATCTTATTATATAATAAAAATAATACAATTTTGTCGTTCGACTTTCAAATCTACATTACATAAATGTATATAAAGGCACATGAAAAACATACTGTATCCATATAATCACGTAATATAGTCGGTGTAACATTGATAATTATATATACATAGCCTTAAATAAATAATATTAAAGGCCTTTTATATTGATATTCTTGTGGAATGTATTATTGATATTAACGTAATCTATATGAATCATCATCTACTAAATAATTATTAAGAGTTTTATAATTTTTGTTTTCAAATTCAAATATTATAGGCAACCAAATATACAGGAATGTATATAAGGATGGCGATGGTTGTCTTAATTGCCGACAGATTGCGCTGTTTGCAGTAATTCAAACGATCATATCTTGCAAACCAATTAATATTTCAATTCAGTAATTGTACTCACGTAATTCGAATTGCCTTTTCTTCATTTTAAAATGTTCGTTTAATTATATTAAAACGTTTTCGAGGAAGTCGATTTTAAACAGCGCCAAAATGCTCGAACTACAATCTTTGACATATTGCTAACAGATGGTGCTAGCTACCATAAAAACGCTATATTTATTTTACGCCTAAAGTGCAGGCAACTAATCATACTTATAACTTTGTTGAACAAGTAGGAAAATAACATCTTAGAATATGGCCTGTATTTTCGTAATCAGAAGCTCCCAGAAGAATGTTGGACATGGATGATGATCTTGAATATATAAAGATTAAAATAAGCGTAAATATAGGTATGTAGCTGCAATGGTTTATTCATAATTAACAAACTTTGGCAAATGACAGATGGGGAAAATAGCGTCTTAGAAAATGACTTGTATTTTCTTAAACTCTAGCTCCCAGAAGAATGTTGAACATGGATATTGATCTTGAATATACAGAGATTAAAATAAGTTTAAATATGTGTTTGTAGCTGCAATGGTTTATTCGTAATTAACAATTACAGATGGGGAAAATAGCGTCTTAGAAAATGACTTGTATTTTCTTAAACTCCAACTCCCAGAAGAATGTTGGACATTGATGATGATCTTGAATATATAAAGATTAAAGTAAGCGTAAATATAGGTTTGTAGCTGCAATGGTTTATTCGTAATTAACAATCTTTGGCATATGACAGATGGGGGAAATAGAGTCTTAGAAAATGACTTGTATTTTCTTAAACTCCAGCTCCCAGAAGAATGTTGAACATGGATATTGATCTTGAATATATAAAGATTAAAGTAAGTGTAAATATAGGTTTGTAGCCGTAATGGAGTCTTCATAATTAATTAAGAAATTTTGATATTTCACAGATTATTGTTGACAAAATGACATCTTCGAAATTAGCCTCCACTTTCGTACACATCAGCTCCCAGAAGAATTTTGAACATGGATGTTCATAATTAACAAACTTTGGCAAATGACAGATGGGGAAAATAGCGTCTTAGAAAATGACTTGTATTTTCTTAAACTCCAGCTCCCAGAAGAATATTGGACATGGATGTTGATCTTGAATATATAGAGATTAAAATAAGCTTAAATTTTGGTTTGTAGCCGCAATAGAGTCTTCATAATTAATTAAGAAACTTTGACATTTTCTGATTTGAGGGACTTGTGTTGCGATTCGCGAACACCGCGGACTCTTAATAACTTTCTTATTAATGATTTTAGTAGCAAACGGAAGACTAAGCATCAAAAATGAGATATTAAGCTTTAATTTGAATTTAAGTCGAGTAATTAATGAAAAATTAAGAAATGGAAAATTGCCGTGTCTTTATTACTTCAAGAACATGATTTTTTCTTACAAGATACATTGCGTAAGGGTTGCGCCCTTCTTAAGCAACAATAAAAATGCATGAAAGTTACGTAATTTTCGAGAAATTAATAAATAACAGGGAAAACTGAAAATCTGTCGGATCGCAACATCAAGAGTTCCAAACCTGATCATAATAAATCAAAGAAAAGTTCATTAGTTTATGAGAACATAAATTTATAATTTTTAGAGACCGGAAAGCAATTTTAGGATCAATCGTTTTCTGCTCGAGTTTTCATAAAAAAATACTTGAATAGCAACTTTTTCTCCTTCACATATCGCGCAATTCTACAGTTTTGAGTTATATTGTTGATTCTTTTTGGAAATCCTATTAGAATCTAATCTTATAAATTTCTCGAAAGTTACGTAATGTTAATCAGTTTACTACTGTTCGCAAATAACGTAATTTCTTGCAAAACAATAGCAACCAAACATACACTAATATAAATTATTTATAACATTTCGTAATTTGATTGAGTAGTTATACAAAAAGTACTACAATTAAAGATTTTATTATATATATTACAACGTACATTAAATCTCCAACATATTTAAAAAATAACATTAGTAATATAAATAATTACAATAAATCTACAAATATATTTGTAAGAATAAATATTTTCATTCAAATCTTTTATAATTTTGTTTAATAAAGTTTCGATTAATGTTCTAAATAAAATTGCATAATGTAAGTAGTTACAATCTTCCTACATGTAGATCAAATAATAGATGTATATGAGGTGATCTATCGAATTATTTACATTTATAATCCAGCGGTAGTGAAATGTGATGAGGCTTAGCGATTTAGAGATTTAGTGTTTCAGAAGTAATAATCAGGTGAGGCTAAAGGATATGGATTTCAATATAAACTTGGAGAAGATCTGCAGAGCATGCCTGATAGAGAAATGCTCCATGAAGCCTCTGTTTGGTGCCTGCCTGCCCAATATGCTTATGACCATTACATCAGTACAGGTACATATTTTGTTTACTTTTGGGATTAGGCATACTTACGTGATACTTGTGCGTTATTTTGAAGGTGATGGAAGGAGATGGTTTGCCAGCATTGATATGCACACAGTGCCTGCAAATGATCAACAGGTTCTACAGCTTCAAGCAGTTGTGCGAGAAGTCTGATGCTACATTGCATGAGTACCTGTCTCAGGTGTCCACAGATAATCTAATGCAGGATCCTAAAAACACCAATATATTCACTAGCACTGATGCCCTACAATCATCCCTTTTCAGTGATATATTCAATGATGCCAGTCACTCGTTTGTTCATAGCTTCACAGGTGGAGGACCTGGTGTGTAAATGATGTGTGCTTCCTTTGAATTGTATTATGTTTAATTCAATTGATGATAGATTCTTTGGCTGAAACCATGCAGAGTTTGCAGACCATTGCTGAGCAGTGTTTGCCACCAACTTGGGAGCCTGAGGTACCTTTGATCAATCCCAGTAGGGATTCCCAGGATATTATTTGTGATGAATTCAGCTTGGATGAATTTTTTAAATGTCAATTCTGTAATAATACATTTAAAGGTAAATTCTTGTATCAAAGATGTCTAATTGGAAATTGATATTGTAATACTTTCTGGAAGCCCAAAAATGTTAAGTTTCTTTCATATTTGTAGATGATTGGAGCTTAGGGGAACATTTGAAGATCCACACGCATAACATAATGTACTTTTGTAACGTGTGTGGAAAGAACTTCACCAGTCCGAACGCTCTATCGGAGCACACGTTGGAGCATTCCATCGAGCAACCTGCCAAACTGGAGAAACGGAAGATGTTGAATAAACCATTTACCTGCAACGTACTGGCGCTTCCATTCGTTGTCCTGACATGCATGAATTCTTTTTTTGCTTTTAGATCTGCGGCAAAAGTTACACGGAGAACAAAGGATTGAAAGAGCACTTCAAGATGCACACGCAGAACGACTGCATGAAGCGAAAGTTCGAATGCTCGATCTGCGGCAAGAAGTATACGCAGAATAAGGTGTTGTTGATCCACCTGAGGACGCACACTGGAGAACGTCCTCTGCAGTGCGAGATCTGCCACAAGACCTTCTCGCTTCCCAGTTCTCTGCACAAGCACAGGCTAATCCACAAGAACATCAAGCAACACAAGTGCAACATCTGCGGAAAGAGCTTCAGACACACATCCAACTACAACGTACACTTGAAGCTGCACACGGGCGAAAGGCCACATATTTGCAGCATCTGCGGAAAGGCCTTTGCAACTACGGCCAATTTGGATGTTCACGTTAGGATTCACACTGGGTTAAGACCTTACAAATGCACCAGATGCGATCATTCCTTTACCAGTAAGCGATTTCAAAGATTTTGGAAAGTATTCAAGTTTCATTTATTCACAGCAAGCAGTCAACTGAAGAAGCATAATTTACGTCACACAGGAGAGTTACCATACAAGTGCTGGCACTGTGGAAAGGCTTTCAGGCATAAGGATACAAGAGACACTCATTTGAGATACCACACTGGAGATAGACCATACAGTTGCACTCTATGTCCAAAGAAGTACATAGCAGCAAGTCATCTGAGAGTGAGCTCACTGTTTCAGCTAAATAAAACAGTTTGCTGAATCTTTATTTTTTCAGGTACATATGAGATCCCACAGGAACGATAGGAAACACCAATGCAATATGTGCGGAAAATCATTCCTCGATCCGCAAACCCTTAAATCTCACATAATGACTCACACAGGCATAAAGCCATATAGTTGCTTGGCTTGCAACCAACATTTTGTGCAATCAGCAACGCTGAGTAACCATCTAAAGATTTGTCCCCACAACAAAATAAACTTCTAAACATAAGAAATTAAAATTTTATTAAAACATACATAAAAATAAGTAAAACACATAAAATAAATAGGGACGTTTTACAATGAATCTACAGCAATATTATCATATCTGGACCGCAACGTTAAGACGAGCTTCATATCTGGTGGCATCAAGGTGGCCCTTTTACCATGGTGTGTGCATAAGTTGCTGTCCTCAAAGAGCTGCACCAAATACATTTCAGCCGCTGCCTGCAAGCCCTGCAAAGCTATTCCTTGTATGCGATCAGCCCCAAACTGGTGCATCAATTCCTTGATAAGCCGACAGAATGGTAGTTTTGGGATTATGTCATGTACTGTAACCTGGAGTCTGTTCATTTCTTTTATCAGCTTCTTACTTATTACTTGCTTGATACTGCCCTGGCAAATAGTAACATTCTTCGTTTTCTTCCTCTTTGGTTTATTAGCAAGTTTACCTGAGAGATTTGGAGTACTATTATTGGGGGAGCTATCTCCATGTCTTGTACGTGTCATCTGCAAGATAATCATCACTTCAATTATAATAAATATTTACTGTGCATTACTTTTATTTACCTTGCAATAGTCTTGTATTTATAAGTCCTAATATATTTTCAAAATCACTCGGTAAAGCTCGTACAATAATTAAAACACCGTACATGCCGGAATACAGCAACCATGTAAATAAACGAACATTTTTGGGCGGGAAGTTCTATGAAATGAAACTTGTTGCTTCTGTAATTGCCACCTATCGGATATAGATTAAACTAAACAACTAATTTCTTTTTCTGCAAAATGTTGTATTATTAATTATTACAATATAATTAATTATTGTAACTTTAAAATCACAAAAGCATCTGAGTTTGACATATTATAATTAATATAGATATACTGTGATGATATAGATATTAAGAAAAAAATTAGCAAATATGGATTAATCTTTTAATGATAAAACTTATATCATTTAAACCACTTAAATTATTTTGTTCAAATAGTTAAGAAAGTTTCAGTACAAACAAATATACAATTTATTAATCTTATGAGTCATGTATACTACGAAATGTGCACACATCCATCGCGGATTTGTAATACTTTGGACTTTGAACGCCGGCCGTCTGAACAGTTATGTTTTGTCTGGTATTAATCTTTTTACTAGTATTTTGGTTGTAATTTATATCTATATTTATTACATAGCGGATTAATTTATAGGAAATGAACAATAAATTATTAAGATACGATGTTTAGTTTATTTAGGTTTCATCAGGAATTTTGTGTGACTGCCCTTGACTAACAAATCTTTGGTGGCATTATTCAAAATTTCAACCTCCAAGAAGGCCAAGGTTTTCCCAACCCTCAAAGTTTTTGCATTTATAACTAATTCATCACCAACAGTTGCTGACTTTAAGTACCTGAAATTTGTATGAAATTATTATCATTTTTCAATTTGCAATAGTTCTCTTAACTTACGACATGTGCATGTCCACTGATACACTAGGTACTTCTCCATACTTATGTGTGACTAAAGCCATGCTAGAAACTATATCGACAAGGGTTGCAGAGAAACCTCCATGTAGCCCACCTAAAGGATTTGTGTGTTCAGGTTCTACTTTCAAGGTAGCCTGGCAATTACCATTGTTAGCAGACAAATATTTCACCTGAAAATAGTTTAGTTAATAATTGCAATTAGTTTTAGCACATTATACACTTACATTTTTAGTGAGGGCATCAAAGCCCTTGCACTGGTTAATCATCTTCATAATAAAATCTGCCTTAGGCATTTTGTTAATTAATTGTGAACCAATAACAATCAGAAAAACAAGTTCTTATATAATTCTCACACTAACTATACTAAACAAGTCGTCCCATATATATATATACAGTTATTTGCAACCATACATACGCATGCGTCTATTCAGTTTCATAATATCCTTTATTCTATCAAATCACGTAATAATAAAGAAAACATAAAAAATTTATAGCACAAAAATACAAATACATTACTTATCAGCCATCAAGAACTTTGTGTGCATCCCCTTGACCAGCAAATCTTTATTTGCATTGTTTAAGATTTCCACATAGAGCTGTGCAATTTGCTTTCCAACTTTTAATGGTTTAACATTAATCAGTATCTCTTCTCCAATAGCAGCAGACTTTAAATAACTAAAAAAAAAATACAATTAGAATTGAAAAGTTTTAAAACTTCTAAGATAACATACGTCATGTGTATATCAGTGGACACACTTTTCCTATCACCAAGTGGATGTGATTTTAAAGCTAAACTGGAAATAACATCCACTAATGTTGCAGAAATGCCTCCATGCAAAGTACCAAACATGTTAACACTATCAGGTGACACCTTAAAAGTGGCTTGGCAATTTCCATCACTCGCAGAGATAATTTTCACCTGAAAGAAAAACTTATATAAATATTCGTTATTTATAATATATTTTCCTGAAACTTACCTGCTGTAAGACTGTATTGAAGCCTTTGTTGTTGCTTTTCAGCAGCTTCATGAGCATATCGGCTTTCGGCATTTTGTTGATGAAATAAAGTACAAAACAAACTGGTTAAAATTTCATACAGAACTGATTTAGTATTTCAAAGCATGAAACCCAATATACAGACGAGTATTTTGATGTCAGGGTTGACCAAAGTACATTTAATTAGAAATTATTTATATTTAACGATAGATAAATACATACAAATATAATAAAAACACACAAATTCGTAAAATTAAGTATACAAAAGTAACTACAAATAAAATATTATATATTTAAAAAACAGATTTTTATTTTGGACATCCCTCGACATTCTGAAATTAATATATATACTTGGAAATTGAACTTTGAGCTCCGACATGGAATAAACAAGCATCAAATGTTTTTATTATTTGCAGATTATATTATAAAAAATATTATATATTAATTAAATATAATGGAAAATTATGTGGTAAAAACAAGCGAATCTTTGCTGAGTAATTTATTGTTTCATTCAAGTAGATAACTTCGAGATAAAATGCTTTTTTTTTCCCTTTCAATTAGCAAGTCTTCTCCAGTGTTCATGTACTTAAACACACAGCATTAGAAATAAAATAATTAGAAAATATGCGTTAAAATTATTAAAACCTAGCTGTTTTCTGCGCTCCTCACTGATATCAATATTTAATGTTCACATAACATCCACACAGCTTATAAAGGTTTCTATTCTTCACACGTAATAAGACTTCAAAACTTTTACGAATTGTAACAGAATCTTCAAAGGTTTCACGAAACCAAAAACATTAATGTTGTGAACAACAGAAACAAAGAATTTAATTATTTCTAAGATTTACTTGATATAAAACGTTCAAATAATTACATTATTTTTGAATTTTTCATTTTTAAGTTATTAATATTTGAATTTTGATGCTATTATCAAACTTTTAATAATTTCTCTAACTTTAATGAACGAAGTAATTATAGAATAGATAATACAGGTTTTTCCGGTTTTCAAATTAAAATAATTACCGCTCATATCAGCGCATCAATGAGATAGCCTTCTGTAAATACTAATAATGACCAACAATGCTACAATTATTTACTTGACGCGTGACGATTTCAAAATATCACGGTCAAAAGTCCCTGACAAAAATTCATGTTTGAATGAAATAATCGACCATGGATCTACCCAAGAGCGTAATAAACTTAACCCATCTAATATCATTCTTGGTAAGAAAATCAACAATTTGTTTCTTATATAATTTGTAATTACTCTCAATATGTTTGCTTGCAGGATTTGTTTGCTGTGGGCTTGACATTTCCAGTTTTGGCCCCACACATCAGATCGCTCGGAGTGTCACATCTGACTGTGGGAATCCTGAGTTCCTCTTACTCCATTCTACAAGTGCTTTCTGGACCAATCATAGTGAGATTTAACCTTAAGCACTGAAAATGATTAGATTGTGAACTTGTTTTAGGGCAGCTGGAGTGACGTTCGAGGCAGGAAACAAGTGTTTATGATCACATTATTCCTGAGCTCCATATTCTACTTTCTGCTGGGTCTCAGCACTTCAATATATTCCATTTTTATTGTACGGCTGTTGCTTGGTAAATTCTGAAGGCTACTCTTAAAAACGAGTAATAATTTGTTCAATTTGCAGGCATTTTTAAACATACACAGACTTTGATCAAAGCTGTTATTGCCGATTTCGTTAAAGCTGAAGATAATTCCAAAGTTTTGGGACATAGCACAGCTTTCAGTTCTTTGGGTTTTGTAATTGGACCGATCATTGGTGGTCATTTGTCTGAGCTTAGATCTGGATTTATGTATATCTGTTTCTTGACTGGATTAATTTTTATAATTAATATTGGTGAGTTATCTCAATAACTTGTGTATGCATGCAATAATTCGTTAATTTTAGGATTTGTCTATATGCTGCCAGAGAGAAAATCAAAGAAAAAGAGTATTAATGTTGGAGAAGAGCTGTTCAAATCTGTGCAGGATTTAAAAAAGATCAATTGGAAACGACATTGGGTCTCGTTTCTACTGAAATTCCTTTTTGTTCTCTCCACAACAATTTTCTTCGTGAATCAATCGCTGTATTTAAAGGAGAGATACAATTTGAGCCAGAAGCATGTGGGATATGGAATATCTCTTGTCAGCGTTATTGGCGTTGCGGCCGCTTTCATGTCCGGCTACATAACGAAGACTTTCTACAAGAACAGGAGCTGCAACGAACGCGCTTATCATTCCTTCTTGATGCTTTCCAGCTGCTTCATTGGATTCTACATATCTCCCAACTACTACTATGTCATAGCTCTGCTGATTCCATTTGGCATCTGCAATTCGTTATTGAGGATTGTCACCATGGAAATCTTATTCGAAAAGTGTGGCCCAGATGAGAGGGGCTCCCTGAATGGGGCCTCGGACAGTGTTATGAGCCTTGCAAGGTCTATAGCACCAATAGCTGGAGGAGTGATTGGTGATGCCTTCAACGAGAATGCTGTGATGTTATTAGCAGTAGTACCTGGAGCTATTGGCACCCTAATTTGTTATAGATTGAAAGAAGTAAAGGAGAAAATAAAATGATACGTGAATATTGTGTTGCCTAAATATCATATCCACGTCAAAAACACATGATCTTTGTCGGTGCCGCAACTTGATAACACTTCCTAATTCCATCCATTCAATAGAGCAGAAATGACCAATCAAGTGGAACTGAGTGGAACATTACAATAACATTTAACATGACTAAATACACCCGAATCTCTATATATTGGATCACATTTTTCGTGAGTACACATTAAAAAAAAAGATTGTTCCAAAAATCTATAAACAACTTTTGTTTTAGGAAGCGACATGCATTGGGATACTGATGCCAATATTGAATACGCACATATTCACCTTGCAGGGCAGTCACAAGATCACCGGAATAATAGCAGCTGTTTCAATTTTATCTGAGACCTACTCAAAGAAGATCCTTGTAAGCCATGTAATTTAGAGCCAAGAAAATTCATGCTGTAACAAATTAATCATTTCAGGCTAAAAACACAGCTAATCCTGAATCCATATTATTCAAATACTTATTAATTGAATTAATCACAAATATAATCTTGGGTTTATCAACTAATCTTTATCTGGTGGCTACAGCTCGAATTATCTTTAGTAAGGGGTTACTGCTTTTTTTTTTTAAATTAAATACAATGCTATCAATTTCAAGTTAATCGTTTTTAGATTTGTTCAATCAGACAAACACATTGTGCAAACGAATAATCAGCAAAAATGTTGCTTCTGAAGATTTATCCAGCACCTACAGCACAATAAATTTACTTTATATATTAGGTTTAATATTTGGGCCAGTTCTCAGTGGGCATTTGTACCAGAACAATAAAACATTCCTTCCTGATATGTGCAAAGGCGATACTTGCTTTTACAGCGTCGCAAGCGCATTAACAACTTTAAATTTAATTAGTACAAGTGAGTTTTCGCTTGAATTGCAAGCAGAGTATCGATGTTAATCACGTTTGTATACTTTTAGCTTTGGCTTTCTGCATTCCGACCTGTGAAGCTGTAGAGAATTTGGAGGAAAACGAACCGCGCGCGGATCCTTTAAAATATCCACCATGGCAGATCAAAACTCTGAGGTTCCTTTCTCGCATCAGTATTTGGGTGTTCTCTTCAAAGTTCTCGTTGTTGATCAAAGAACTTTACGGAGCGACGCCTATCCAAATCGGATACACATTGTCCTTTCATTTCATAATCTTCTTTGTCGCAACGTTTCTCCTCAATACCAAAATCAAATTCGATCCTAAACGATACGCACATATGAATTTCTTAATCGGTACAACGATCTTGTGCATGAGCATGATTATGGCCTGTCTATCGCACAGTTTCTTTATGTTCTTGTTAAACAGCTTCCCGCTAATAGTCGCCAGAGTCTACATGGATTGGACCTACAAGTCTTTATACTGTGATTCCGCAAGCATTTCGAAAACCAACAAGTATTTGGATATGATGCTACCTTTCATATTCGGCGTTTTCTGTGATATTTACCTAAACGATGCGTTTAGAGTCTTCTGTATTTTACCACTGATTCTAGCTGTTCTTTTAAGCATTTATTACGACAGTTTCATCAACGATTGCTCCGTACAAACGCAGATTCACATTCACGACGATTAAAGTACAAAATTTATTAATTTTTATTCTATTTGACAATTACTATTTGCAAGCAATACAATTAATTTGTTAATGAGGCTAATAGAATATATTTACAAAGTATTTTAATGCAATTCTATTTGAAAATGATTTGTTAACGTTATAACAATTAAATAAACAGCTATTTAAACCAATTGTAATTAATATTGATTATTTTTTCCATTATATTACAGACATTTCTTATAAGAAAATACTAATTCGTGACATCCACCTTGCATCAAATACAAATTGTATATGATAATCTGATATACAGAGAACTATATACGATATTAGTATTATCTACATTAGTAATAATTGCCATTATCTTAGAAAGAAATCAGTTTTTATCTGTGGACTGTGATAAGTGAAAAGCACACATTCGGCTCCGGAAAAATAACAATTATGGTGTTCAAATCGCTCTACGCCTTGAATTTCATTGTAAGTAAGAAATATAATGCAGAAGTTGCTCTTACCTTTTTATCTTCAAGGATATAATATCTTTCGGATTGCTTGCGCCAACCACCAACGTTCATGTGCTCTCCCTGGGAGGCAATAAATTCCTAATAGGATTCCTCGCATCTTCGCACAGTTTTCTGCAGTTGTTAACATCTCCGATAATCGTAAGGAAGCAAGTTTGGCAAAGCGAAAGATTACAACTGAAGCTTTTCAGGGCAGCTGGAGCGACAGGAATGGTCGTAAACCGGCCGCATTGTTGACACTAACTGTAACATTCTTCAGCTACATTTTGTTAGGAGTTGATTCGCTTTACTGCTACATCTTCTCTCGACTGCTCTTGGGTAAATCAAGTTAATTATATTACTATTCTCTTTAAGGGCTCTATTTCAGGTCTTTCTTGCCACACGAAGCTCTTGTTCAGGGCTTTGATAGCTGACCATGCGAGCGTTGAGGAACAATCCGAGATATACGCAAAGGTTGGAGCGTTGGGGGCAATAGCCTTCATCTTGGGTCCTATCATCGGAGGACACATAGCCGAAGCCGACTATGGGTTTAAAAAGCTTGGTTTCTTGCTCTCAGGTTTAACTGCTGCTAGCTTAGTAATAATATTTAGTTTGAAACCAAAGAAGGTAGCTGCTATAAGCGATGCGAAGAAAGGCGCAGCGTTCAAAACAATGTTCGAGCCGAAGTGGAGGATTCTCTTCAGCTTAAATTTCCTCATCTCCATAGTTTATAGTACATTCTACCAAACGTTCGGTATGATCCTAAACGAGTCCTTCGGAGCTTCGCATAGAGAAGTTGGCTACGTTATAGCGTTCCATAGCTTAGTATTGATCTTCGCCAATTTATACGCGAAGCAAATAAAATCCGCATTTGCGGATGACGTTAGACGAATTGCAAGATTCTCCGTTACCGGACTTTTAATCACGTTCATATCTTATTACCTGCTTCCCAGTTTCTGGGCTATGGTGGCTGTGATGTTACCATTTTCTTTCTGCCGTACACTCCTAGACGTGACGTTCAATGATATTCTGATTCGAGGAGTTCAGGATGGCGAGAAGGGTCAGGTTATGGGAGCTTATGATAGCGTGGATATGATGGCGGGGCTCGTGACACCACTCCTCTGCGGTTTGCTTGCAGAACAGTTCGGATACAACTTCTGCATTCTACTATGTACTTTGCCTTTAATGCTAATCCTAGGTTTGATCAACAAACTGGACATGAAATTGGACTAAATTATGTAATAAATATGTACACTGCAAGTAGAAGGAATACTTTAGTTTTTCTCTTCCATAGCCTTCAGCATTTTCATCTCCTGCTTCTCCTGGATCTTCTTTATTGCATCTTTGAATTCCTTGTGTTTGGATTTGCTTTCTGGTGGATATAATTCTTGCTTCATATCAGTCACCCACTTCTCATAGTACTGCGGCTGATTGAAGTAGTGGAACAAAGCTACTGGGAATGTCATGTACATTGCCATCTTGCCCACCTCTAATTTCCAACCTCCCATTTTCTAAACAATTATTGATATAAGTATAATTTCAATATACACTATAAATACTTACATTTTATTAATATTTTCACTAGCAACAATATAACTTAACCTTATAAGAACTTTAAAATAAATACCACTTTCCTCAACAGAATAAACCAAACAGCAACATGTTTAGTGCTTCGAAAGCCTTACCAACGTTGAGTAAATCAAGAATACTGGTGCAAATAAAGTTGCCTATAATAAACTACCACTTTTAATCATTACTTTAAAAGTCTGTTAAAATGTTAACATTTGAAGAATAACTTTACATTAATTTGTATAAAATACTCATAAGAATAATTTCAATACTATTAGTATTAATATACATTTCCTATTAATCTTTATTTCTTAGAATTAATAAATTTAAATAAAATTCAAATTATTAATATTAACTAATAACTATTGACCATAGGACTTTCCGCCAATAAAATAATATTTCAAATTTGCAAAATTATCCAGTTGAGTTTCATTATTTTTAGCTTGTTCACTTCTTGTTACATAAAAAAGAGAGCTATTTAAAAAAGAGTATCTGGTAATTTTGCTTCTTAAATTATGAGGAATGCTGATTTCTAGCTGCGTATTTTCTAGTTTTAATTATGGAACAGGTGTTACGAACATCCTGCGATGAATACAGTTGATACACGCTGCTGATGAACCTCGCGATTGGAAACTTCTTAACAAATACAGTATGCATACTACTGTTGATTTAGAACATGGTTTATGAGGATCTCTTGGAAGAGTCGAGATTTCTATGGCTATAACATGTTTGGCCTTTAATGAACTCGCCAGCAAATCAGCGCACGAGTTCAGCCAGCAAAACAGTATCTCACATACGAAATGTACAGGAACTCCTCCTTACACGTACCGTCCTCGACTATCTGACAGTAGCTATCAAAAACATAGACTCTAATATATTTTTGTCTTTGTCGCTGTTGTTCTTGCTTGGATTGTAAAAACAACGTTTCCAGTCTTTGATTGAGAATCTGCAATTTCTTGATTTGAAGGTGCAAAAGCCTTGCAAGCATTAAATTGTGACTTTTCTTTGTTTGATGTTGATGGTATTTAGTGTTGGCGATTTATGCAGGTGGGAAGAACTTTGGTGAACTTGGTGCTCTTCAGTTGTGGTGGAGCGAGAGTGGTCTGAGCGTGCGGAATCCGTCTTGTTCTTCTCCTGTTCGCTCTCTTTTCTTCTTCTTTCAGGTGAGGTGTCCTGTCCTGAGAGGATGGGTTCGGT